CATCATCTTTGAAAGGTATCTTGCCATTCATCTCAGTGGGAGAAAAAAAAGATTTAAGTTTTGTGGGAATTCTAGTACAATTTGCTGTCCTGCAGTCTGCAATTTCTTCTGAAAAGGCAGATTGTAAAAATGTGTGTGAAGCAATTACCTCCCACATTTCAAACCTTTATGTAAAAATTGCACATAAGGAACATAGTGTATGCCACGTTCATTACAGGAGAGGTTTGTTATGTATTTTTTTTAATCCTGAAATGCATTTGATATGTGCATATTTCTAGACAAAAGCGTAACAAAAATGACAGATTGGTCACCAATGGAACCAACATACTGTGTAGACGATGTTTCTGTGTTAGTAAAAGTCTACTCATTTTCTCTCTGCTCTAGAGTTTACTATGCAGTGTGGAATGAGTGCAAACACCAAATATACCTTCTTATAGTCATCAGTTCATTGTTTGCAGTGTGCTCATTCAAAACCAGCAGGGTGAATTTTATAAATGAGACATTGAAAGGTGGTTTATCCTGTGTCTCACATTTATGCCGATGTGGCATTTTCATTTCTTCCAAATCCTAAAAGGTGCTGAAAGATTTTAACTTGAATTAAAACCAAAGAATATGTTATTGGGAGGTTTTTATTATGCAACTAAATGCTACAGATACAGTGAAATGCCACTTGTTTTTGCAACTTTTTTGAAGGTTTTTCATTATTTCTTTCACTTTTCTTCCAAGAGTCTTGATTTCAATAACTCTGCATCTTTACCTGAAGAGCTCTAATTTATAATATTCAGGCACTAGCTTTGTATTCTTCATTGCACTTTCATATTCTTGTGTTACATGCCCGTATTATGGTTGCAAGTTTATGTGAAAATGACTTGAATAAAATGTTTCAAGCGTTCTACTTGTCAAAGTCTTATACTTAATAGGTCCGAATCCATCTCTCAGTGAGAAAACTTCAATTAAGGTTCTATCTATATGAAAATGAGGAGGATTCTGTCATGATGACATGGTCTCAGAAGAAGTGTCACAACAAGTTAGAAACAAGAAAGAAAAGTTTGCAATGCACAATAAATTAGCCCTCACACTAGTCAACACGTGAAGCTGTAACAGGATGAGGCATGTGGTTCATCTGAATACAGGATTTCCTTACTATATTGTCTATCTCTGTAAAAACAGAAAGGACTTTCAGAATTTCTGCTCCAAAAACTACACTGTCGTGGAAAGAATATTTGAGCAGTCGATGATAGAAAGTCTGTGTACTCTAGAAAACTGACTAATGCATTAAACAGTTACTGCAAACCCATTTTATCCCGTGTTATTGACATTCGCTGAGTATAAACCAACATCCTGCTGCGTCTCAAAGTGTATGCTAAACTGATGAAACAGGCTGCATTGTGAAGCATCTCTTGTGCCTTCACCAAGGAACCAACACAAAAGAGCATGGTTAAAAACTCTGGAGTGTTCACTGTAGTAAGAGGTTGTCAAACATTTAAATATCAACAAATGGCACTCTTGTCTTTGAGTAAATGAAAACAAAACCAATGTAATATCTTTTAAAATTCATAAAATAAATGTAGAATTATTTCAGATATAAACCACTTTGTGTAATGTTTTTGTAATTTATTTAACAAAATTATTCCTGTCCTACTACTTGGAGCTAAGAGTTTCAAACTGAGAACTTCTTCAAGTGCTATCCCTAGAGCACAGAACTCAGTGTGGATCAGAATCTGTGAGATGCAGCAAAAAAATGCATGCAATAATTGCAGAAAATGCATTAAACTCTATTAAAAATAAAGCATCTCCTAGTTACCAAGTATCTCCTACCCACTATTCTACTATCTCATTTTCACATCAGATCATCTGTCTAGTATCACAAAATGAGCTATTACCAGTCTACATTTAGAATGCACCGCAACAATTTTGGTTAATAAAGCATTGCTGTAACTGAATTTTCATTCAAGCCCTGTTTCTCCTGATCTAATAATTCCATAAAAACTGATGAAAGAAATACTTATGCCTGTTTAGAAGTCTTTCAAATAGTGTTATCAATAGTACACCCGTCTTTCCTTTTTTAAAAAAAATCACATTTAAACTAGTAGTGAGTGTCTTAAAAGACACTGAAAAATCTGAGACTCTTTGGCTGCTAAGTCTGAAGTGAAAAAATTGTGCATCTAAAGCACCCTGGAGTATGTGAGAGTATGTACTTGGCTGAAGACGTTTCTTCTATGGTGTGGTACTAAACTGGAAGGAATGGCTCTCAATGTTCTTAGACCTAATAATCACAGAATGAAGTAACTTTCCATATCACTATAAAAAGAAATTGGTAGCACTTTGTGAGAGGTCTCTGTCTAAACAGTACTGCAGATAAGAGTTATGTTAAAATCATGTATATACTGAATATGTTATGTTGTTATAATGAACAGAAAATGTTCTAAACTTTATCAACAACTTCCAGGCTAGTTCATTGGGTTTATCAGTTCACAGATAAATTGCCCAGTTACACGTAAAAAATATTATCAGGTCTCCACCATCACTACTCATTTGCACAGTGTATTAAGGCTGTGATCCAGGTGAGTCACTAAGTACCAGTTAAAAGTATTAGTAACCCATTAAAATATGAAGCAATGCCAGTAACCTAATCTCTCTTTTCTCATTCATGTTGAGTGTATGTTATCTTTTTTCTTTTCCTTAAAGTAAGAGCTCAGAAATGTTCCTGAAGACAAAAAAATAGATGTTTTGAGAAGTCAGGCTTCCTTCAGGAAGAATTCTGTGGCCACAAATTACAGCTATAATAATGCAGCAAGAAACTTGCTCAAATGCCAAGACAAACCAATGCTCCTAGATCTCTAAGCACGTGCAAAAAAGCACTTTGGAACATAAGCTCGTTAGAGTCTTGGTTTGGTTTTTTTTTTTCAAACTATTCGCAATCTTTAACTTTTTGGTCTTTAATGTGAATCAGCTCTTAAAATAGGGTGCTCATCTGCTAAAAGAAAGGTAAACTGTCCATGTTATAGCTGATGACATCTACCAGTAGAAATTACTGAAGAAATTTTCCTTATCTTTTATTGGAACCAGTGAAGTCAATGTTTGTTTCGTATGGAATTCAGCTAGGATTTATTTACATACATTACTTAAAGCATTAAGTAATGCAATTCCATTTGCATTGGAAATCTTTAAGTAAGTCTGTATATAGCAGGTAAATGCATGACTTTTTCTATAAAATATAATCCTTCTCTACAAAACCAAAGTAAATGTGTTTGCATGTTTTATTTTGGTGCTTTTGGCCTTAAATGTTGTTCCATATGGTACAGTGAAAATAACAGGAACAAACGCCACTGGGAAATGGAAGGTTATTTGAATTTCTCATTCCTCTGAGAAGCAATGCCGTTCAAGAAGATAGTATCACATATACTGACATTCATTCAGGATGTGGGAAAGCCTAAACAAGTGGGGCAAAAGAAGCCTAGGTACCAATACAAAATGGATCAACTGAAATGTTTAGTCTTCAATAACTTAACACAGGATGGAAGAATGGGCAGGAATTGCTGGGCTATATTAAGACACAAAGTTTGCAGGAGAGGGAGACAGAAGTGGCCATACCACCGAGTAACACTACATGTTCCTGCCATTTGACTCCAATGCCATCCTAAGTGAAATACACTGAGGTATTATACAATGACTACATGTTTGAGACACTTTCAGTAACTCCCATGTGGTCAGGAGTACATGTGGTAGGAAGAGACCTCTAAATGTAATATAGGTCAAACCCACTGATGAGGCAGGATCCCCTTGAAATGGCTACCCAGGAATGACTCACTCAAGATCTGAATGTCTTCAAGGATAGAGACTCCACAATCTTTCTGGGCACCTGTGTACTGGGGAACCCAGAACTTGATCCAGCATTTCAGATGTGGCCTCATCTGTGTTTAGCACAGGGTAAGGATCACCTCCCTTATACTGCTGGCAGCCCCTGATGCTGCTGGGCTTCTTCAATGAGACACAGAAAAAGACTGTTCTTCCTAAGAATGTAATATGTAGTAAGGCCTCCGACACCATAAGGGATTACATATTCTACATGTTTGCATGTATTTAAGAGCAGACATGTCTGCAGACAGGAAATCCATAGGGGATTACTAAACACAGTAAGATTCAATATCACAAGATATTGAACTGTGAAACTGGAAGCTTGAAGAGATGGAAGTTGCATAATGCATCACTCTGTGCTCCTCTATCCTATGCTTAAAACATCCCTTTTAGACTTCTGTTGAAGATACCAGGCTAGATGGACCTTTGGTCTGATGCAGAGCTGTTCTCAGGCATTGCAAAATGCTACATGAATTGTACAATGTATTATATTACACACCCTGCAGGAATTTACCAGGTTCCTGAATTCATTTGATTATGAAAGATAACTATATTTAAATAAACAACACTGCTAAAGACTAATTACAAGTTCAAAACTTGTTTCAATTAAGTAGTAGGAAAAGCACCTGAAGAAAAATTCAATGAAGCTTTTATGCCACATCCCAGTCAAATGAACTCCCAGTGTCAGAATGGCACACAAAAGTCAAATGTTTTTTAGTGTACAAAGACCCTTCAGTTTTTCACATTCTTTCAGAAGCACCCACATATACCTACCAGAATAAAGTTTTAAAGATACCCTCTCAGTTCTTCAAACTGGCAGTATAATCAAAGGACAGAGATCACCATTTAAAAGGGCAATATTTAGTAGCTCTTCAGAAATGTTCATATCATGCATACAACTGGTTTGCCATGGGACTTATGAACCAACACCATAAGGTCATTATATTAAACAACAGACAGCACATACAATAAATGAAGCAATCTTGATTATTCTAAGATAGTAAGTTCTAACAGTTGTGATTGGTTGCTAAGGATATGGATAGTGTAACAAAAATGTTCAAACAGCAGTTGTTACTTTGTAAGAAAATACCACAGGATGCAAATCTGTAAATATATTTTTAAACCCTCAGTTCATACACAGTCTAGTCATCAAATTTAATCTTTTTCCCTTGGAATGCTGCAATTTGGGACATTTGTTCTCTCTGTTTCCTGCTTGCTTCCCATGAAGGATGAAGACGCTGCTCCAAACATGCTTTCTTATTGTCATGTTTAATACCTGAAACTTTTGCAAATGGTTGCTTCTTGAACTGTGGTTCCTTTTTAAGAAAACCTGTGCAAGTACAAAACAAAGCATTAACTACATCATGAGCCTTCATAAAAATATGCAACTAGCTTGGGATTACAGACATTCCTCACCTTGCAGCCCAGTTAACTGTCACTTCATAGACTGCAGATAGTTAAGATTTATTATTACTGACTACAGTCAAAATTTGTGTACACAAATATCCAGCACAGACTAAACCTTTTTCTTCACAATAAACCAGTGAGATATTACATAATGCAACTCAATATGGCTGCAATTATATCCTTGAGCTAATGAATTCCAAAATGGTACCATATACTATAAATGAAATGAAATATTCCATTTCCAGGTGCTATTGAAGGAGTTACTTATGAGACAAGGCACTTGTTACATATCATAGTCTGGTACCTTTACCTGTGCACAAGTAACACTAACTGCCTGACAGACGCACAAGCACTTTCCTGTGTAAACCCTAATTTTAAGTATTTCTAATATTAAAAATACAGAAGACAATATCAACAGATTAAAAAGAAAGCTCAACAATGTGACCATTTCAACAACAAATATTAAAATATGTGCCACAAAATTGAAAAGAAACCAACTACAGCCTATCACAACTAGACTGCAGAGGCTACAAAATCTCAAGATGTTTTTACTCTTGTAATGTTATTAGGTTAAATAACACATACCTGTTCTCCCATTTTTGAGAGGCTGGTCTTCATTATTTCTAATAATAAAAAAGAGGATTTAGTATTTTGCATGAAATTTGTTTACAAATTTGATTACAAACACCTGTGAACAACAAATCAACATCATCGTAACACTTATGCAATGACTTTTCAAGCGTAATATATAAACTTCTGAAATATTGTTTCAATCCTTGTTAAAAAAGAAGTAAAAATAGAACTATTCATAAGTGTATGATTTCGGATGCAGGTTTAGTTAGGAATCCTATGCACATGTCAGTGCTAACGTGAATATGAAAAGTATGTAATGTCAAGAAAGTGCAAGAATATGGGCAAGTAGTTTGTGTGAGAATGTTCTAAGCTTTAATGGACCGAAATTCTGTTTCTTTGGTAAGGTCTACTAAAAATCACAACTTTCATTACTGTGAAGGATGGAGGAAATGGAAAACATAACAAGGGGAAAAGGTTTACCTTCTTCTGTTTTGAGATTTCAGATTAGAGACCGACAAAGAACTGCAGAACACTGACTCTAGCTTGCTTGCTTTTGCAGGTGTTTTTCTTTCTTCCATGAACAAATCTTGCACTGGCCCAGGCACTGTACTCTTTTCTTTCTTCACTATATGTTTCTCAAGTCTATCCTTTTCTTTTATTGAAGAAAGACTAGTATCTGCTGCTATCTTTTTCTTTCTTTTTACTTTGCCAATGAAGAAATCATCATTGCTGTCACTGTCAGAATCTGACGACTCATTATAAAACCTCTCTTCAGTACTATCATCAAAGTATTCCTTTTCACTAGGATGCTCCTCATCACTATTATAAATTCTTTCTTTTGTTGCATTTAATTTGTTCATACCCATATTTTCTTTCCTTTTCTGATAGCCAAGTTTCTTTCCCGTTTTGTTCTGAGTTACTGCTTGCATTTCTATTGCTTTAAATGAATGTTCTTCTGGAGCATATTCTCTCTCCATTTCCACAGTTTTCTGCTCAGATTCACTCTCACAAAGTTCTTCAGCCACCCTGTCAGCTTCTGTTTTCATACTCAGTTTTGTTTTGTGTTCACATCCATGCTGTTTTTGAGATAGTTTAAGTACTTGGTCATCCAAACTGCTATTGCAATGTGCTGATTTAGGCTGTTCTTCTGATGTAGCCTTTTTCAAAGGAGTGGCTTTGTCTGGGCTCTTTCTTGCATCCTTAAAAGCTTTTACAGCAGCTGTACCAAGGACAGAAAAATATTTTGTTGCAGCTACATGACTTTACACAAATTATATTTATATACTAAAACATTTTTGCAAGCTAAATGCATTGACGAAGCCTTCGTCCTTATTTACTGAACACATGGGACAAGACATACCTTAGAGTACAGTATCAACAAAAGTGAGGGAAAGAACTTGAAATTATTATCAATAGAATATACTATGAAACCTGGGTTTAACTGTGAACTTCTCTTTTAGGAAATAATCTGCAGCTCATAATCATGTTCACTTAGGGCACTACTTTGTGCGCAAAATTGCAAGCTAATAACAATGGGTATTTGATATGCTCTGTTACTAACAAAGTAACTTTGTGACATTATTGCTAGGACTTGACCCTTTTTAGTATCAATTTTAAGTGGAAAATTTCAGTTTCAAGAGAACAGGAGATAACCTAAAGAACCAGGAAAGACACCCTAAGGATTCTGGGGACAGTTTTCAGGGAAGATTAATAAAGTCATTTGCAAAGCCTTTTAGCTGCCTTTGGAAACTCAGCTGTAATGCTCCTTTTACCTTTGCATATGCATGTTATTGTGCTCATTGCCAGTTCATTACTATTTAATTTAGAGATGCTCCATTACATCCATCTAATTTTTAGAGTTCCCATTACATGCCTTCTTTATTCAACACCCAATATCTTAAATGTCATCTTGCATACTGTCACATATAAGCCCATTTCAACCAATAAAAATGACTACAAGTGTGTGGCACTTGTTCCACTGCAGTTAGAGTAATTACAGAATTTTTTACTGTTGTTTATGTCAGGAATACACAGGAACAAGGTTACACACCAGTAAGCTACTGAAGTAATAAACAAGCTAATACAATATTTCATACCTTTCAGTTCAACAAATCTGGGCTTCAGGCTGGGGTGTGTTGCAAGTCTTGCCATGGCTCGCTCAGCTGCGGTACAATTTGGCTATACAAAACAAATTCAAAGGCACGAAGTCAACGGAATGGTGATTACTTACATAAGCCAGTGCCAGTTATTCTACAATTCATACTAATGTGATTCTGGATTATGACCTGAGCAAGATGAAAGCTTATGATGCTATCGTAATTTTTTATTTTTCTTGTATTGCTATCATTCTAAAAGCAGAAAAACCTGACTGCCTAAACACTGACAGAAACATAACAGACATGTACGTTTCATACTTCTCAAGTACTGAACAGGCATAACATGATGTTTTTTTAAAGCATACCAGACACATCTTTCAGAGCAAACAAACTGATATTACATTCACTATTTCTTATATGTGCAAAGCAAATTCAAAAACCCATTGAATAAATAACATCATATTGGTAGAAGGCATTCTGCTTGAAGGAATACAGGAGCTTCCAAGAAGCGCAGTATAGATACCACGAAAGTAGGCAAAATGACATAGCAAGTATTGAAGGAATATACATTAAATGTTGTTGAGAGCCAAGGTCTAACATGATCTTAAAGACAAACAATGTTGAACTTGATGTGGTAGAATACTGGAACTCCGCTACCTGATTCAAAGAAGTATGACCTTCTTGCTTTTAATTTGAAGAAAAAAAGATAGAATAAGGTATTGCTTCATTTCTGACCCTTTGATAGATTAGAAATCACAGGCATGACACATCTGAAAAGCTCTCATTTTCAGGTTCTTGTCATCACTCTGAAGAACAAAATGAGAGGTATCTAAGACATTCCAAAGACAGCTTTGTCTTCTGGGGGTTTTATTTCTTTGGATTTTTGTTTTGTTTTGATGTTGGTTTTGGGGTGTTTTTTTTGAAGGGAGGAAAAGGAGGTGTAACACATTTGTAAAACACAAATTTAGCAGGAACATATCTTAAAGCTGCAGTGGAATTCTTTGGGAGAGAGGAGAGAAGACACCTTTCTCCCCTCATCCTAGTGGTACTGCAATGGATATATGTTCCAATTGTTGCTATCTCTGATTTGAGCTATATGCTGCAGGAAGTATCACAGCAGAAGCCACACAAACAAACTGATGATAATACTCATAAAGAACCAGGCAAGTGTCCTGTGACCAAGCTGGGCTGATTTTGATGTCCATGAATTCAACACAGCATACTAGATCTCCCATCCTGAGAAACCACAACAGATGGAGCCTAAGCCACACGTGTAACTGGTAGAGAACAGGGGTTAGAGGTGGTATTGGCTCTGCCCTGGGATGGTGTTACCATTCTACAGAGCAGACAAGATGGTGCTGTGCTTTGTATTTGTAACTAAAGTATTTTAGAGTTGGTAACACACCAGTGATTTAGTTACCACTCAGCAGTGCTTGCACAGCATCAAGGACTTCTCTTGTTTCTCACTCTGTCCTTCCAACAGGCAGGCAGGGGGTAGGCAAGAAGCTGGAAAGGAAACACACCTGGTACAGGTGATCCACGTGGACCAATAGATATTCCATTCCAATATCGAGTCATACTTAGCAATAAAAGCTTGAGGAAAGCAAAAGGAACGAGGGGATGTTTGTGGCTATGGCATTTGTCTTCCCAAGTAACCATTATGTGAAATGAAGCCCTGCTGTCTGAGATGTGGCTAAGCATCTGCCTGATCATGGGAAGTAGTGAATAAATTAACTATTCTCTGCTAGCACAGAGTGCTTTGATTCACATATAGAAGTGTCTTTAGCTCAAGATAGAAGTTTTTCTCATTTTTGCTTTTCAGATGCTATCCCCATACTGTGGGGGTGGGGCGAACCAGCAGCTGCTCGGTGCTTAGCTGCTTGCTGGGGTCAAACCACCACAACACAAATGCTACCTAATACATCAGCAATGCACGTTTATAGCAGCTGACTTGATCCACTTCACCACTTGAGTGCTCAGAATGTTACCTGTTGCATGTACATTTTCTTCTAATAGAATCATGAGACTCAGAGTATAAACAGTTATATATTCATTGCATAAAGATTGATGGACACTTCCCACCAACTACTAGCCCAGGAGAGTCACTTTCAGTGCTTTGGTCTGAAGAAAACAAGAGCAGAAGGCAGCACTGCAACTGCAGCAGTCAGTACTTCTAAATGCAGAAACATTTAATTGGTTTGCAAAATGCAAATCTTCTTCCTCAAGCAATGATAAGCAAATCCCATTTTTTTCTTGCTTTTTTCATAGTCCTAGAGCTTACAAAATATACTCTGGATATGTCCGACCATATTCATATTTGAAGCGCAGAGCATCTGGGAATTCCAGTACTTTCCCCTGAAGTATCTACTACTACAACATTATTTCTTCAGGTCAAGAAAAACTGGAAAAATGTATTCTCTGAAGACTGTCTACAGAACTATGAAGAGTGGCCAGAGGAGAGAGTCAAAAGATGGATCCATTTCCAAGGGCCACAGGCTGTCTTACTTTCAGGCCAGTCTAGCTGAGAACTTGAAAACTGAATTTTGATCCCCATGTGACAATGGTGCATGCTGCCACCAAATTCCTGGGACAGAATGCTCACATTTCTGAAGATCAAATGCTATTTTCTTTGGAGATTTTTCTTTAGATGGAAAATCTATTTCTGAACTTAATTAATACACTTTTTCCCTCAGCTACTTCCTGTGGGTTTTGAAAGAATATACCATAAAGTTCAGAAAGCAGCAGCAGCTTCTGTGCAACATCTGGTGTCCTTCAATTTAAATATTTATAGAAAGAGTTTAAGCATATACAGGCCAATCCATATGGAACAACCACATTTTTTCTTACAGCAAAATACTTTGCTAACACTACTCTAACTGGTATATGGTAGCTAACAAACATAGAATATGACATTCACATTCTTTTAAATTTCCAGTTTTTCTGTGTGTAGCGTTTGTTTTTTTGGCACAGCCAATGCTCATATTATTTTTTTTCTCAAGTATTTTCCAGTATATAAAACCTTATAGAAACATAGAGAATACAAAAAATAAAACTTAACAGAAAAACATCAACTGTATTTCCAAGCAAGAACACGCTTGCCACCCTCCTCCTGCCCCCTGTATGTTTACTTAGATACTGGAATTGTATTATTATGACATATTCCTGCTACATCTTATATTATTTTACACTATTCATTTTTTAATGCAAGAATGAACTAGTACTTAATATAACATTCTCCTTTCTTCAGTGTGCAACTGAGGCACTACAAAGTGAACAAAGCAGCAGAGCAGTGTATGGTCACTTCTCAGGAAGAAGTTGTATTATTGTGCTGGTTTCGGCTGGGGTAGGCTTAATTTTCTACACAGTGTTAAGTACAGGGCTGTGTTTTGGATTTGTGCTGAACAAAGGGTTGAGAAGATGGAGATGTTTCTGTTACTGCTGAGCAGAGCTTACACAGAGTCAAGGGCTTTTATGCTTTTCATACTGCCACGCTGGTGAGGAGATGGGGTGCATGGGAGATTGAGAGGAGACAAGGGTGGGACAGATGACCCAAACTGACCAAAGGGATATTCCATTACGCTATATAGCATAATGCTCAGTATATAAGGCCTGGGGAAAGAAGGAAAATGGGATATTTAGAGTGATGGCAATTGTATATCGAAGTAACTGCTACGTGTGATGGAGCTGTGCTCTCCTGGGGATGACAGAACACCTGCCTGCCCACTGAAGCAGTGAATTAATTCCTTGTTTTGTTTTGCTTGTGTGTTCAGCTTTTGCTTTCTCTACTGAACTGTGTTTATCTCAACCCATGAGTCTTTTAGCTTTTACCCTTCCGATTGTCTCCCCAATCCTGCTGGTCGGGGAGTGATCCAGTAGCTGCATGGGGCTTGGCTGGGATTAAACCACAACAGTTACATACAGAACCACCTGAAAGTCAGTCTCCTCAAACTTTTCATCTTGGTAAGTAATGCATTATTTCTGCATATAATACTAATAACATCTGTCATCACTGACATCAAACACACATATAAGTGAGACAAATTTTGTACAAAGTGGCAATGACTGAGAAGAGAATGGACTTTACAAACAACAAAATGGCAGAGACAATGCTAACCAGGGTAGGCATAAAAAATTGTCCTCAGTTCTGGGCCAAAACAAGATGTCATTGCAATACCCTTTGTAACAGCTTCAGAGAAGAGGTCTCAATTGAAAAAAATGAGAAACAACCAACCAATTTGAAAACCTGTTAATCCACACGTTCTTTCCAGAGCTCTAACTAGTTACAGATGTCCTTCATAATAGAATATGTGATTAATGTGAAGTCACAGCGTGGCTGAAGGTGCCAAATCATGGCTGCAACCCAAGTCCATACCATGACTTCATACTACTTTCATTTTTAACTTCATAGTTACTTTCTGACTGTGAAATGCAGCTAGTTCTCCCTCTTCCTTTATGTCTGTAAGACATACAGTAAGTGATTTGTGGCTATCAGACATGGTGCAGATTTTGGTATGACAGGCAACTGGTTAATGGTATCACTCACTGCTGTCTCTCAGCTTCTGACAGCAAGAGGTCTTTTATTGAGTTTGTCTTGCCTTAGTAATGGGCTGACAAGTCAACTAGGGAATGCAGAAAACAGGTCTCTGATAGATGTGGCAAGACTTTAAAACAGTGGTTCTTCCAAATACAGAAATAACAGGTAGCAATCCCATGGTATTCAAAGATGAGAAACACCAGCAACTAAAGGGCAAAACAGACTCAACTTGCAGAAATATGAATTTAATTCGTTGCCAATCAAATCAGTCATGAGAACTAAAAACTAAATCTCAGAACACCTTCCCCTCATCCCTCCCTTTTTCCTGAGTTCAGCTTCAGTCTCAATTTTCTCTACCTCCTCCCACCCAGTGGCACAGGGGGATAGGGAATGGAGGCTGTGTCAGTTCATCACACATTGTCTGCACTGCTCCTTCCTCTGCAGTAGGGGGCCTCCTCACAATCTTCCGTTGCTCCAGTGTGGGGTCTCTCCCACGGAAGACAGTCCTCCATGAACTTCTCCAGCATGAGTCTTACCCACATGCTGCA